ATACGAAGGAGGGTTCGTCCTTGTTAAGGTCCATCGACAACAACGTGAGTGGAGAAATTACGGTGCATATAGTATTCGCTAAAAAGATCGTCACATAATAAACCTTCATCGAAATTGAGAGAACATTTTGAGAAGATTGTAGTAGAATATAGATTAACAATTGCGACGACTATTATGGAACTAACGAATGAGGGGCTTTCCATGGGATGAAAATTTTATAGAAAGGAGAAAGAGAGATAGAGAATACCTTTCAAGTTCTATAATTGATACTTAGATGATGACTTTTTGGAGGGAAAAAACACTTCAAATTGTTAGAGTATAGGTATTAGTATATTTCATATTCTTGTATTAATATTAATTTGTCATTTACCTTCTCCTTATAGGATTAGGTCAACCTTGTATATTTGTTTATATATATAGACCTTGATAATGAGAATAGATTACATTGGATTCTCTCCAACCTTAGTCTCTACATGGTATCAAAGATCTAGGTTTGTTCTAATTTTTTTTTTAACTTAGGTTTTGGTACCCATTAGGGTTTTGTGCCCATTAGGGTTTTGACCCATTAGGATTTTGGCCATTAGGGTTTTGTTCATTGCTATCAAACTCAACTCACTACTACTGTCGTCGCCATCGCCCATTGTCGTTGCTCCACCGTCGTTTTGGGTTGTTTCTGTTTGCTGTTCATGCGTTTCGTCTTGTCGTCCTTCGTACCTCCGTCACCGCCCCGTCACCATCGTCGTCGCCACTCGTCGCCTTCGCCCCTCTGGTTGTCTTGGGTTAGCACTTAGGGTTTCTGATTTCAGAAAACACTTGGTCTAGTTCAAGCAGTCCAATTCAGCCAGTTTGGTTTCAATCGGTCTGGTTCATCCGATTTGGTTCAAGTGGTCTGGTTCATCTGGTTTAGTTCAAGCAGTTCGGTTCATTTCTTTTGTCTGGTTTGGGTGGTTTGGTCTGGTTTTGCTATTTTGTTCAAATAAGTTCGTTTGTTTATTATGGTTGAGAAGAAATCAATCGTAACTTCTGAGGTGATCCCAATGATATCAAAAATCACAGAACATAAGTTGAATGGATCAAACTATTCTTCATGGAAAATCAATGTTCGTCTTTTTTGCGAAGTATTGATATGGACGACACATAACTGAGGATCCTCCTAAGGATGAGAGCAAGAAAGCTTGGTTGCGAGATGATTGCTCGATTAGGTTTTGGTACCCATTAGGGTTTTGTGCCCATTAGGGTTTTGGCCCATTAAGGTTTTGGCCATTAGGGTTTTGTTCATTGTTATCCAACTCAACTCACTACTACCGTCGCTGCCATCGCCCACTGCCATTGCTCCACCGTCGTNTCTCCTTATAGGATTAGGTCAACCTTGTATATTTGTTTATATATATAGACCTTGATAATGAGAATAGATTACATTGGATTCTCTCCAACCTTAGTATCTACATGGTATTAGAGATCTAGGTTTCTTCTAAATTTTTTTTTAATTTAGGTTTTGGTGCCCATTAGGGTTTTGTGCTTATTAAGGTTTTGGCCCATTTGTGTTTTGTCCATTAGGGTTCTGTTCATTACTATCCAACTCAACTCACTACTACCGTCGCCCACTACTGCCACCGCCGTTGCCCACTATCGTTGCTCCGCCGTCGTTTTGGCTTGTTTCTGTTTGCTATTCGTGGGTTTCGTCTCGCCGCCCTTTGCACCTCTGTCACTGCCCCGTCGCTGTTGTCGTCGCTGTGCGCATCCATCACCGCCAGTCGCCACCTGTTGCCTTCGCCCCTCTAGTTGTCGTGGGTTAGCACTTAGGGTTTCTGATTTCAGAAAACACCTAATCTGGTTCAAGCAGTCCGGTTCAAGCGGTCCAATTCACCCGGCTTGGTTTCATCCGATTCGGTTCATCTGGTTTGGTTCAAGCAGTTTGGTTTATCCAGTTTGGTTCAGGTGGTCTGGTTCATCTGGTTTAGTTCAAGCAGTTCGGTTCATCTCTTTTGTCTGGTTTGGGTGGTTTGGTCTGGGTTTGCTATTTTGTTCAAATAAGTTCGTTTGTTTGTTATGGTTGAGAAGAAATCAATCGTAATTTCTGAGGTGATCCCAATGATATCAAAAATCACAGAACATAAGTTGAATGGATCAAACTATTCTTCATGGAAAATCAATGTTCGTCTTTTTTTGCGAAGTATTGATATGACGATCACATAACTGAGGATCCTCCTAAGGATGAGAGCAAGAAAGCTTGGTTGCGGGATGATGCTCGATTGGTTCTGCAGATCAAGAGTTCAATCGAAGGTGACATTATTGGCTTAGTCAATGAGTGTGAGTATGTTAAAGAGTTGTTTAAATATTTAGAATTCCTTTATTCTGGAAAAGGAAATGTTAGTCGAATATTTGAAATCTGCAAGCGCTTCTACCAGCCTGAGTTTGGCCAATCGCTTACAAATTACTTTATGGAACACAAACGAATTTATGCAGAGTTTAATGCATTACTCCCATATAGTAATGATGCGAAAGTTCGGCTTGCCCAACGCGAACAACTAGCAGTTATCAGTTTTCTTCTTAGTCTTCCACCTAGATTTGATGTGGCCAAAGACCAATTACTCTCTGGTTCAGAAATTGATGACTGCTCTTGTTCGCGTTGGGCAAGCCGAACTTTTGCATCATTACTATATGGGAGTAATACATTAAACTCTGCATAAATTCGTTTGTGTTCCATAAAGTAATTTGTAAGCGATTGGTCACCAAACTCAAGTTGGTAGAAGCGCTTGTAGATTTCAAATATTCGACTAACATTTCCTCTTCCAGAATAAAGGAATTCTAAATATTTAAGCAACTCTTTAACATACTCACACTCATTGACTAAGCCAATAATGTCACCCTCGATTGAATTCTTGATCTGGAGAACCAGCGAGCATTATCCCGCAACCAAGCTTTCTTGCTCTCACCCTTAAGAGGATCCTCAATTATGTGATCGTCCATATCAATACTTCGCAAAAAAAGACGAACATTCATTTTCCATGAAGAATAGTTTGATCCATTCAACTTATGTTCTATGATTTTTGATATCATTGGGATAACCTAAAAAGTTACGATTGATTTCTTCTCAACCATAACAAACAAACGAACTTATTTGAACAAAACAACAAAACCAAACCAAACCAAACCACCCAAACCAGACAAAAGAGATGAACCGAACTGCTTGAACTAAACCAGATGAACCAGACCACCTGAACCAAACTGGATAAACCAAACTGCTTGAACCAAACCAGATGAACCGAATCGGATGAAACCAAGCCGGGTGAATTGGACCGCTTGAACCGGACTGCTTGAACCAGATTAGGTGTTTTCTGAAATCAGAAACCCTAAGTGCTAACCCACGACAACTAGAGGGGCGAAGGCAACAGGTGGCGACTGGCGGTGATGGATGCGCACAGCGACGACAACAGCGACGGGGCAGTGACAGAGGTGCAAAGGGCGGCGAGACGAAACCCACGAATAGCAAACAGAAACAAGCCAAAACGACGGCGGAGCAACGATAGTGGGCAACGGCGGTGGCAGTAGTGGGCGACGGTAGTAGTGAGTTGAGTTGGATAGTAATGAACAGAACCCTAATGGACAAAACACAAATGGGCCAAAACCTTAATAAGCACAAAACCCTAATGGGCACCAAAACCTAAATTAAAAAAAAATTTAGAAGAAACCTAGATCTCTAATACCATGTAGATACTAAGGTTGGAGAGAATCCAATGTAATCTATTCTCATTATCAAGGTCTATATATATAAACAAATATACAAGGTTGACCTAATCCTATAAGGAGAAGGTAAATGAAAAATTAATATTAATACAAGAATATAAAATATACTAATACCTATACTTTTAGCATCGTTTTTCTCCATGGAAGTGGGAGAAGATGGATGATCGGATGGGAGAATAGTGGATTTTTCTCAATGCAATTAGGCATTTAGCACTCTAACAGTTATGGCTGAAATACATACTTTAGAAGCAGTCATTAAACCAGGATTTATACATCTCTCGATCATGTTTACATTGGGAATCACTATTCTGATCACATGATGACATCATTAAGAATGTGCTCGAACTATGTTTTAAGAGTAGTTTTTCCTATCTTTTCTTTTCGATAAGAAACAAGGGAGACTTTAATTCAAAGAGCCCAAAGAAAGGTGAAATGCAAACTAGTGTACCTCGGGACAAGGTGTTTTTGTTTTGAAGGAGAATTACATCTTCCAATCTAATCCAATAGTACAGGTCGAGTAATTACAAAAAATCTTGTTTGAGCACTCCAGTTCAAGGTCATAAACTGTACAAGATCGAAAAAGTATTCAAAATAGTTTAACTTTATTTTTTATACTCTTTAGGTTTGATTTTGCTGCTGATTGAAGCTCATTCTTTTAATTGGCTCCCCTTTGTTGAGCTTTTTTTTTTTGCAATTTTTTGTTTCATTCATCTCAATAGAAGCTCGGTTTTCATAATAAAAAAATACCCCTTTACCATTTGTAACTGTTGAAAACAAGGAAAGTTGCTCGAAAGTTGCTCTGCTACTTTCATAATACTGTGAATTTCTTGAAATATTGTACACATTGCACCCAACTGCAGAATTGACTCATGATCCTTTATTCTGTATTTTATGTAGGTATGATCAGTCTGGCTATGGACAATCAAGTGGAAAGGTACGGTGTCATTTTTCCATTCGTTCCAGTTTGTAAATTTATTTTAGTATTGTCAACCAAATATCTATTTATTTCGGATGTTTCTTTCTAAGGAAGTAATAAGTAGCGAGTTAATGTCATGATGTAGTTGTGCTTTGATATTTATAATTATATAGATTCATTTTTCATGTTTTAGTGCTCGAAGCGTGGGAAGATAACACAGACTTATTAAATTTTCAATGGAATCAGTCCAAAAAATTTGATCTCTTGGAACACCATCATTTCTAGTTTTCTCCTGAATGGGCATCCGTTGCAAGGGTTGGAGCATTTTTCAATGCTTATGACGTCGAAACTCGAGCCAATCGCATTTACACTCAGCATCGTCCTGAGCATATGTGCAAGCATCTCAGCCTTTAACATGGGGAAACAGATTCATGGTTACATTCTCAGATCGGGAAAGTTCTCAGAAACATCTGTATGTAATGCCCTTATCACAATGTATTCTAAATGTGGGGTGTTCGATTGGTCCTTGAGAGTTTTCAATGCCATGACCAAAATGGACGTGGTGTCGTGGAATTCTGTAGTATCTGCTTATGCACAACATTGGCAGGGGAAGGAAGTCGTGCGTTGTTTCAAGGCTATGCAAGACATGTCCCCAATCAAGCCGGATCAAGCCACATTCATCGCTCTTCTTTCTGCTTGCAGCCATGCGTGGCTGGTTGACGAAGCCAGTCGGATTTTCAACACAATGTTAACAGATTATAGCATTGTTCCAAGCGTGGATCAGTTATCTTGCATCACTGACCTTTTAGGTCGATCTGGGTATATTGATCAGGCTGAAAGTGTAATAGAAAGCGCACAATTCGAAGCGCATACCCATGTTTGGTGGGCATTGTTTAGTGCTTGTGTAGCTCAAGGAAACTTGAAGCTAGGAAGAACTATCGCCGGAATCCTTTTGGAGGAGGAGGGCAACAATCCATCTATGTATGTGGTTCTGTCAAATATATATGCCACTGTTGGGCGTTGGCAAGAATTTGCCAATGTGAGGGAATTGATGAAAAAAACTGGTGTAACAAAACAGCCGGGCTACAGTTGGATTGGAGGGCTAAATTGAAATCTGGGTTGGATTAGATGTATTGTTTATACAGTAATTAATGTCAATTATGCTTCTTCTTTTTTCAATCAAAATCACTATGATAGAATTGCTTAATGAAAAATTGCTACTATTTCAATACAAAATTGTGTGATCCTCCAACTATTGGCCATTCTGAAGCGACAAGCCAAAGAGCATTGGCTGTTGTTTTTATCATTGTTTTATCCTTCTCTTTTCCTCCATCTATTCGAGATTTCTTTGGAGCCTATTCCGAAACAAATAGAAACCAATCAGATATTAGTAATCGGTAGTTTAGTAGGATCAGAGGGCAATCAAATTGTTGAAACAAAGCAACCACCGGGGTGGTGGTGTAGTGGGTTTGTGACCGAATGGGGAAACTCATGGCTGGGGCTCCCCCAATTTGGGGACGAGTTCTGCAACGTCGGTTACAGTGTTGGGTGGCTGTCGACACCCCCCGTTATAGGGATTCAACTGGCGAAGCCACCCGACATTGATTCCTAATCATCAAAAAAATTTGTTTTTTATTGAAACAAAGCAACAGAGCCATTAGCAATCACTATTCTGTGATTTCCGTTGATTGAAAATGAATTAAGATAGAAACAAGCAGAGTCATACCTCTAACAGAAGATGATTTCAGAACCCATGCCCACGACCAGTATGTGTATTTCCCAAGAAAGTCCAATGAACTTATGCAAGCATAAATGGGTAACTGTAGGTACAAACAACTAGAAGTTCAGCAAAACAAATGTTAGCTTCAAAATGGGCTTTTAATCTAAACATGAAGTAGAACGAGAAAACAAATTATGAAGTTAGTCTATGGATGCAAGTATGAACACAATAAACCTCCTACTTTACAAGTTCAATTGAATTATGCACACGAAAAGATGTGTGAATGCCCGTTAAATGGAAATGATTACAACTTATATTGTGTGGTAATTGGAAACTACATTTCTTGGAAAGAAATGTGAACAGAAGTGTACCATCTACTTCTCAGAGTTGAGAATCTCATTCCTCAAATCTTGAGCCAAAGATTCTGTAAAAGCAAGTTTTGTCACTCTTTGAAACATCCTACAAAGATACGCTGAACACATCAATCATGACATAGTTTAATATTTAAACGACCATCCCTAAGAAATATGCTGATGTGCATCACACAAACCTCAGCTCTACAACGTAAAGACTCTACTCCATTCTCAGTATGTAATGGAAATGGAACAATAATGTCTGTATATCCCATCAGCTCTCAGAAAAGATTGTATCTCTCCAAAACTATCCATCTCATCTGGAGAAACCTATCACAATAGAGAGAGAGAAAAAAAATCAGCGAGTATTTGTGAGATGTTCCCCTGTTTCTAGCTTCCAGATAGTGGTATGAGTATCAGAAGCAAAGGTTCCTCTACTTTGTTTGATGGAAAAGTAGAGGAAACATCCAAGCCAAAATGAGGTGTTTCTCCCATCACCAATCTTGCATTCCAGCTTGTTGTGGACCAAAATGGATTTCCAGGCCCTTTAAAGGTAGACATAGATGTTGTGCCTGATTTGAAGAAACTCGAACACCTCCCACATACAGGTAGCATTAAATTTTCTTTCGCTCTTATCCTTTCTTCTTTCTTGTTGTTCTACTTATTTTCTCTAGTTTATCTTCTTTCTTATTGATTCTCTTTGGACTCATCTTCCTCTCCCATTTTTACTTATTCCTTACTCCGACTATGCCATTGATACCTTTGAGGGCCAAGGGCTCGCCTCAACAACACTCGGAGACTCTGCCATGCACACCTTTGAGCCATGAATGGCCCGCCTCAACAACATTCATCATCTTCTATTATTGGATTTTTTTATTTACCTGAATGTCATTTTTCTAAGTATTGTGTCCTTGTGTCTCTGCTGTGTCCTAAGGTGTCACAGGCATGTTGGAAAGAAAAATAAAAATAAAAAAACTCATGACATTCTAACTAGCATGTCGGACAGATGTTGGGCATGTGTTAGAGCGTGTCGGTGTCTAACAACTGACATCGAACTAACACCGACACTTGGCGATTTTCTACATGTCGGTGATTCCTAGTTGCAGGCAAACTCCAGAGTTAAAAGATGCAGCTCCTGTTCGTCAAGATTGACTCCCAAAAGCTCTAATTTTTGGTGGTTGATGATCAATCCCAAGGCGCACGGGAGTTACTTTGTGAAGGATTAGATGAGCAGTTACGATCATATCTGTATATATAACTCATCTACGGCGAACGGGAGTGCGACTTTCGATCTATCGTAGAGTCACTTTGGGTTGATGGTAAAATTTGTTAATTCAAGAGTTTAATTAATCAACTTTTTACCACTGGAGTTCAAAGTTGTAGACTTATAAGGTCCTTCTATTTGTTTGTTAACTTCTCCGGTGAACACTTGGTTGAGAGAAAAATAAATAATGTTGATTATTTAATTTAGAATTAAATTGTTTAATTTGGCTCTTAATAATAAATAATTTATTATAATTTAATGCATAATGGGCCAATTGAATTTTTGAAACCCAATTAGATAGTTGGGATCATCTTTAGATCCAATTGGATCAGAAAATGGTTCATTTGGATTTTAGAAGCCCAATGAGATATGACTTGGCTTATGGTGTATGGTGAGTTCATGGACTCAATCTCATGAGATGGAACAATCAACAAAGTAATTAAGCAAATAAAAATTGAGTTTTTAATTCTCATAAAATTCATTAATCCCATCATGGTTTTGAGCCAAATCTATACAAAGATACTCATGGGCCAGACCATAAGGTAATACAAAAAATAAATAAAAAAAAAATTTAAGTGTGTGGCTAGATTTAAGCACCCATTTTAATAAATGGTCATAAAATGGTCATTAGTTCTATATTTTGCACAAATGATCAAATCAAATTTTAAGAATTTTAGAAAATAGATATTTTCCAACTTTGCCCTTGACCATATATTTTTTGTTTTTCTCGTTTGGAACCACTTAACAAATTTTGAAGGATTTGAAATCAGTTTCTTTTCCTACATTTAAGAGATTTTAAGTTGTTTTGAAATTGAATTATTTGAATTAATTCAAATAATTCAATTTCAAAACAACTTAAAATCTCTTAAATGGTTTTGAATTTTAATTAATTTAAACGATTTGTTAAGGTCTCTCTATCATTGATTTGCCATTGTAGCCTTCTTTGAGTGTGTATTGTCATCACATTTAGTTTTTGAATCTTCTTTAAATATTGAGTTATTTCTCTTATCTTCATCCCTAGACTCATTATTCATTCTTTCATTATCCTCATCGGATTTTATATTTGTTCGATGAGAAATTCAAAGAATGGACGAATTAATGAACTTGTATTTGTATTTATGTATGTAATATACAATTTCTAATGTATAATCCTCATATTAATTCTCTTGGATGTAAACTTTAATTTAAGGATTGTGAGCTTGTTCTTGAATCAATATAATGAGGTTGATGTCTTCTGCTTCTTGCTTGTTGAAAAATCTTTAAAGTCTCAGGATTTGAGCTTGTTGACGAATATTTGAAGTCTTCGGCTTTGCGCTGTTGAAGAATCTTTGAAGTCTTCAGCTTTGAGCTTGTTGAAGATCTTCGGATTCTTGATGAAGTTCTTAGGCTTGTAGTTTTATGAAGTTCTTCAGCTTGTAGCTTGTGAAGTTCTTCGGCTTGTTGAAGTTCTTTAGCTATGCAGTTTGTTGAAGTTCTTCGACTTGCTTGGCGAAATCCACAACTGGATGAAGTTCCCAGTTTGATGAAGTCTTTAACTCGTTGCATTACGAAGTTCTTCGGTTTCTTGAAGTTCTTCAGCTATGCAGCTTGTTCAACTTGTAGCTTGTGGATGACTCTGTAGACGATTCTGAATGCGTTGATGGCTCAAAATCTTCAATTCTTCTCAATCATTCTGAATTCTTGTTCTCCTACAACAAACGAGAGGTGACCCCCTCTTTTTATAAAGTTTTGGTGGGTCATGGGCTTAATGGGCTTGAGCTCTACGAGTCGATCCAATTAGCTGATGTCATCGAACGGCCATGAGAGAGACATATGGCATAATTTGATTCGTCAATTTTAAAATTAATTTAGGACACGTGTAATTTTATGATTGGTCATAAATGTAATTTTAAATTGTAATATGACATTTATTAATTGGCCAAAATTTATCCTTCAACGGTATCATACTTTCAAATAGTTGAAAAATTATAAAAATTAGAAGGTCAATAAATGTATAAACCAATTAAATAATTATCCAAATTAGAAATCAATACATGAATATATGACTATGCAACTCAATTATCAAAATTAGAAGGTCAATACATGTATTTACTATTTATCACTATGTAACTAAATTATCAAAATTAGAAGGTCAATATATATACCAATTGAATATTTGTAAAAACAAAAGGTCAATAATGTGTGTATATCACTATGCAACTCAATTATCAAAATTAGAAGGTCAATATATATATATATATATATATATCAATCACTATGCACCTTAATTATTATAATTAGAATGTCAATACATGTGTACACCAATATCTACTCATTCTAGCTAGATTTAATTCAATTGAAATATAGAAAGTTGTTGGACTTAAGTAGATATACTCCTCAGATTTGATTCTAATTGACACGCCCATGTGGTCGGTTCCAGTTGTTTTTTATTTATAAAATATCCCTAAAATATACAAAGGCCAAAAACAACAATTAAATTTAAACTTTATTTATAAAATTGAATTTTTGTTTGTTATCTACCTTTCATAAATCTAATCAACAAAATCCCAAATCTAATAGAATAGGGCGTGCGACTGACGAAAAGGAATGGGGCGTGCGGCAGGCAGTAAGCAGCGAGATGGGACGACTAGGGGGCGGTAGAGTTCCTTGCTACAACGTTTGAGGCGGGCGCGATGTTTGCTGCAGCGAGCAATGGTCGGCGGGCACAGCATCTGAGGTGGTACGATGCT